AATAACTACATCAAAAGCATATTATTTTACTTGCGAAAGAAGTTATTGTAAAAGAGCTACATCGAAAGCGCCTTATGTTTCTTGCGTAAGACATTATTTTAAAAATGCCTACGTTAAAAGTACTTTATGGCACCGAGCGCAATAGCTGAGTCTAAAATCATAAAAAATAAATGCATTAAGAAATTCAAGTAGATAAATTAATGCTGATGTTATAGGAAACAAACATAGATTTTGTTTCCTATAAGCATGACTTAAACATAAATATGTTATTCACATTTAAAATTATATTTTCCGAAAATAGATCTCATATATCCAACTAGCCGCTTAACAGTAATGAAAAAATGCGCATTAGTACACGAAAAAAAATTCTAGCAAAATTACCGAACAGTATAGTAATCGCATTTCTAATAATAATAATTAAAAAAAACATAATTTTAGTTAGTAAAATTAAAGTATATGGTTTTTAAACAATTCATTTGGTAGTTTCTTTCTTTCTTATGGTAATGGTTTATCAGAAATTCTAGCTTTTAAAATTATAGTTCTTACTACCACACATTTAGTAAAAAATATAAAGCTGAAAAGTAAAGTTAACCGAATAAATGTTTTTTGCCATGTTCTAAGGTATGATAAAATCATCAAATTTTACTATATTTGCAAAATTTTATCAAATATTATAAACCTGGGGGGGGCGGAGTTATCGACCATGCCAACCTTCATCTATCAAAAGGTACCTCTTGATGGAATCAAGTTAGCATGTCTTATATACCAGTGAATTGATGTTTAATATTCGTAGTGGTAGTTACGCCACAAACCCATTTTTTATTGTAAATTTTACCGAATTTATTATGAAACCACATCGGTGATACTTTTTCTCAAATACAAATTTTTGCGGGGTCACCCTGCATGAAATTCTATTCCAAATTTATCACGAGGAGAAATTCTACTTGGGTGCTTTGGTGCATTTTACCAACAGAAAAATAATAATAATGTCTTAAAATATCGAAACTTTCCTTTTCAGGATCTTTATGGGAGAAAGGTGTCTTAAGAAAAAAATACCCTCCCCCCCTATAAATATTTAGTCTCGAAAAAATTTTTCAGACGGTGTAGTGTTTAAACCTTTTTCTACATAAGAACAACTATTTCTCAATTTTTTTAAATATTGTATTTTTAAAAATAGTAAGTAAAATATGACTTACTTTGATTGATCTTTCTATGTTTCAAAAATGTAAGGGTTCAAATTTTGTTTCTTCTGAGAAATTATTTCAATTCCTATACATTTTATAACCATAAATTTCATTATTTTTAGTCTTCTTTCACTATCACAAATGCACCAACAACTTCAATGCTTTTCATCAAGAAAGAAGCTTAAGAAATAATATTGTTATAACCAGTGCAAAAGCCTAATAATAAAAATATTTATTCTATTAATATTACAAGAATTCTAGAAGGCTATAAACAGTTTTCTCGAACTTCAAAAGTACTAGTTTCAAGAACAGCTTACAAACAAGGAATGTGTATAGTTTCAAGCTTTGAGTATGAAGAACCTGTGTTTGGAAAAACAATTATTATTGTGTGAAAAGGCTCGAAAGTTTTATTTGTGTGTAATCTTTTTAAATCTTGTTGTGTTTTCAACAATCAATTGAAAAGTGCGATGTACCTAAAGTAATAGCACCAGAAAAATCTATAATAATGAATTTATAATAATGAATATATAATAATGAATATATAATAATGAATATATAATAATGAATATATAATAATGAATATATAATAATGAATATATAATAATGAATATAATAATGAACATGTAATAAAAATATTGCTTTTTCTCAAATACTCACCACCATTTACTAATTTGTAAAAAAATGACTGTAATTTTTCCAAACTGAGTTAAATTTTAATCTTTTAATCAAGTAGTAAATTATGTTAGTATAAAAGTAATTTAATTATATTGTAAACTTTTATTCAGATGAGGCAGAGTATATCAATTTAGTATCTTAATAAAATATTGAAAATTATTTTTAGATGATCCCAAATTTCAAAACTGTAAACATTGAGGCATATGTTAACACAATTTTTATTTTAAATTACTGTAAATTAAAAATAAGTTTGAATTGAATGCACTCTCTTAGTAACAAAAACATACCATCTATCATATTTTCGAGTGAATATTTTGTATTTTCTTAATAAATGCTGTGATATGAATAAAAAAAATATAATATATTTAAATTTTAAGATTTTGCACAAAAATTATTATATTCTGTCTATGTATACAAACATCAAAGTGATTGTAAATGAATAAATTATGTTTGAATATCGATGTAAGTCTGTATATTTTTTGTCCATATTTCCAAGTTATTTCATTATTTTTACATTTCATAATTTACTTCAAATTTATTATTTCCATGCTCCAATGTAATTAATATTGGAATGTTTCTTTAATTAGAGATTGGGGGTTGAATAATCCAATATTATATATAAATTTTTATTTGTGAAAGTAATATTTTCATTTTTAAATAATAAAATATCAAAATACATAGTAATCAGAATCTGCTTCAGCCTAAAATTAAAATTCTTTTTTGCCTCTTTAAAAAATTATTGGTACTAAATCTATAGCATCTGTTGGGACTTTAACGAATGAAATGTAAAAAAGAATTTTAATTTTACATATATCAACCTGAGGAAAGAAAAAAATTTTATCATAAAGAAAACATTTCTAAAGCGCCAAAAAGCAGAGAAAGTTAGCATCACTATTAAATATTTATTAAAAAAACGGAAAATAATTTAAATAAAATTCATAGAAATCAAATTATAGTTTAACTATTTAAATCTATAAAAATTGAAAGAAAAATTATTTTAATTTTAGATGTGTTATGTAATATAGATTTATATGTCTATTGCATAACACATCTAAAATAAAATTAGTTTTTTTAATTTTTATAGATTTAAATAATTAAATTATAATATGATTTATATAATTTTGATTTAAATTGTCTTCTTTTTTTATAAATATTTAATAATGATGCTAACTTTCTCTGCTTTTTGGCTCTTTAAAAATAATGGTGCAACCTTACTCTGATTTTTAGCACTTTAAAAGTAACTAATAATGGTGCAATCTTTCTCGCTTTTAGTTCCCTTCAAAAATACCAAATCATGGTGCAACCTTCCTCCGCTTTTACTTCTTTTCAAAACACTAATTTGTTGTGCAACCTTTCGCTGCTTTTAGGTTCTTTCAAAATCCCATTTTTTGGTGCAACCTTCTCTCGTTGTTTGGAGCTAGTGAAAACACCAATATATACTAAAACTGAACACCAGTTTATGTAGCCATCAAGTGAATACCAATGTTTGGCGTAACATAGCTCGAAATTTCTTACAGTGTACTGAGAATAGGTATGTACTAAGTAATTTGTCTAATGGGTAGTTGTTTTGAAGAGTGGCGTATAAGATTCTATCAGATTCCAATGTTATTCCTAGTATTTAAAAAGTAATGAATAAGTAGAATACAAAAGAAGAATAAACAAATTTCTTTAATCTTGCGTTTGTAAGTTTCAGAGATAAATACTATGTTCTTACTTTGATGTAGTTTAGAGTTCAGCTAATAAAGGGATGAATACTAAGCTAGATCACGAATTTATTTTCTTAAAAAATGATCTGTAGTCAAATTTTGGAGCTCTAATCAGGTGCATTGTCATCCGAAAAACCTAGAGATTAAAACTCATAACGGCTAAGTAGGTATCACAAACAGATAAAAAAACTAAAAACAATATTTGCTATATATATGTTACCGGCAAAGTAAGAATCGCCAGCGTTCTATAAAATGCCTAGGCATTGTATATAATGCCGGATGTTTTTCGGCTAGGTATGAAATATGAGACGTATTAGATACTTTCCCTAGGCATTCTATATAATACCTAGGCATTCTATAGAATGACAAATGCTATTTAGGCAAAGTGTGAAAAAAATGTCCTGATGAGGTTATTATGTAAATGATGCGTTTTTCTCAAAAATAAAAAAGTTATTCTGAAAACATAATGAGATTATTAAAACAATTTATTCAAAATGCGTAAAAGAAAAATGAAAGTTGTACAAAACATAATGTCTGCCTTTCTTATTAAGGGAAACAAAATTTTCGTATAAAAATTCACGTTTAAGTCACAATTATTTTCAGTTTAGAAACAAATATTACACAAAATATTCATTTCATCGGCTTTACTGTCATGTCCACAGAAGATTTTATATTTTGCCGGTTTCTTATTTGGTATTCTATAGAATGCCTAGGAAATGTGTGAAATATAAATCATTTCATTCATAGCCGACTAGTTTTAGGCATTATATACAATGCCTAGGCTTTCTATAAAATGCCGGATTTCAAACTTTGCCGGTAACATATACAATGCGTGTTGGATTAAACAATTGAGAATTAATCTAAGGATTTTAATAAGTAGTATAAAGTTTCTTAAATTACTTTAAATAATGTTTAAAGTTGAATAAAAAGATAAAGTTTTAAAAGTGCAATGTACTCAAAACAAGCAGTTGAGTTTAAGTAAAACTACTTCAATATGCTGCTTTTTATTTTTTTATTATTGATTTATTATTTTTTTATGCATTTAAAATTCCTAGCTACCAAATCCGTGATTTTAGGAAAGTTTTATGAAATTCTGCAATAAATTACTTCCAAGAACATTATAACATTTAACATTTATTTAGTAAAACATTTTATGCAGACATTAAATAACCATTATGCGTTTAATGTTTAATTAAACATAATATACAGGTTTACGACATTGATTTTTCTAGAATATATATTTTGATATCTATATCTAATAAAAATAAAATTGCTTTTAACTGAAATAAATTTTTTTCAACGTTTAATGCTTCTAAGATTCAACTGCGACCTTTATGTTTTAATAATCATGAATCATTCATATGCCTCAACTTTTATTTATTTATGGAAATAATGTGAAAAAATTAATTTATTCATAAATATCTCTTATTTTATTTTTATTTTATTGACTTTTTGAATTGTATATAAAGAACTTCGAAGTTTAGCAAAACACTTCTTTATAGTAGTTACAGGAGTTTCATAGTTTGCGAAACAAAAATGTCTAAATTGTTTTTTGCCCTAATTGTAGCTTTCGCTGGAATAGCAGGTAAGAAATTGAAATAAAGATTATTAGAATAATTTATTCTTAAATTTTACTAATAGATTAATAGAAAGTAATTCTAAATAAATGTTTTTCTAAAAATAAAATTAAAAAAAGCTAATAATAAATGTTAGTTTGATTTAAACAAAATAATAACTAAATTTCTGATATTTCAGTATTCTTTAAATATTTTTCCATACATCATTTACACGTTGCTTGTTTAAAAGTGGTTTAAATATTTTTATAAAATAAATTTGTCAAATGTTTTTAATACTATAACATTCCTATTATTATGTATGTTCTAAGACTATCAAGGGTATTAAATCCTCTTGTTTTCATTTTAATTTTAAAAAAATGAGCTTGTTTTAATCTCATTTGGAACATTTTACGATTTGGTTATAAATTCGTGATAAGCAGTACAATGCAAACAAACCATAAGATTTTTTTTTAAATCTTATTTAGTTACTTTCTTCAGAAAATAATAGATTTAACTTAAATATTGTTCCAATGGTTTGCACTAATATTTCTTAAATAATTAAGTGGAAAAGTTCTAAAATTTTAGCTAAAATATTAAAACATGTTTATATAAGAAGAAAAGAAACATTTTTATACCCACTCTGTCAATTATCAACTTTCTAAATCTGAAGTCTCTTGTCTAAATTATTAAAAATAAAAAGTCGAAATAATAGTTAGGGTATAAGAAGCTTTCTTTAAAATTGAAAACCGATTTTAAAAGTTTGGCTTAATTTTATTTCTAAATTAACGTAGAATTTCTGAAATGTTTCACCTTTATTGGAGCTTCTTTTAAATACAAGACCTTGTAATAGTTGTACAATTGAATGTAATATCAATGGATGGAAAGAAAAAATAAAAGGTGTATGTTGCTATATAACGAGCTTTTTCTAGCATTTCTGAAGAATTTTAAAAGTTTGACTTAAAGGTTATCTTATTTTGCACTTTTTTTCGAACATTTAGATACTTATTTGGCTCTGAATTGATTACGATAAAAAAAATATGCATATAGATAGGACATAACGAGCTACCAGTAGTGTTCCTGAGAGATTTTTAAAGTTTGACTCAAAAGCATCTTAATTTCCAATTGTATTTTCGTATTTTCAGAAACAGGCTTTTGTTGGAATAATATTTAAATTGTTTCACTTTAGTATACACTTGCAATAAAAAGTTTCGTCAATTGAACATAAGTAGTTTCATCAGTTAAAAACTATGTGTTAGGATGCTAAAGAGCATTCTGCAATATTCCTAATGTATTTTTTGCAAAATTCCTAATGATTCCTAATATATTTAATGTANTTAAATAAAGCAAATCGTTTATGTGTACGTTATAATGTGCAATTCTATGTGGTATGTGGAGTAACACTCTCGAGTAGTATCTCGAAAAAAGTTAACGAAAAGGATTATTTTAAGGAGCAAAATTAATCTATTTAAAAACTCTAACTATAGCTTCGTTTTGTAGAAATTAAATATTTTCTGACTATAAATTTCAATAAAATTAATCTTTTTAAATAAAGCAAATCGTTTATGTACACGTTATAATGTGCAATTCTGTGTGGTATGTGGAGTAACACTCTCGAGTTGTATCTCAAAAAAAGTTTACGAAAAAGATTATTTTAAGGAGCAAAATTAATCTATTTAAAAACTCTAACTATAGTTTCGTTTTGTTGAAATTAAATATTTTTCTGACTATAAATCTCAATAAAATTAATCTTCTTAAATAAAGCAAATCGTTTATGTGTACGTTATAATGTGCAATTCTATGTGGTATGTGGAGTAACACTCTCGAGTAGTATCTCGAAAAAAGTTAACGAAAAAGATAATTTTAAGGAGCAAAATTAATCTGTTTAAAAACTCTAACTATAGTTTCGTTTTGTTGAAATTAAATATTTTTCTGACTATAAATTTCAATAAAATTAATCTTTTTAAATAAAGCAAATCATTTATGTGTACGTTATAATGTGCAATTTTGTGTTGTATGTGGAGTAACACTCTCGAGTTGTATCTCAAAAAAAGTTAACGAGAAAGATTGTTTTAAGGAGCAATTAATCTATTTAAAAACTCTAGCTATAGTTTCGTTTTGTTAAAATTAAATATTTTTCTGACTATAAATCTCAATAAAATTAATCTTTTTAAATAAAACAAATCGTTTATATATACGTTATAATGTGCAATTCTGAGTGGTATGTGCACAATCGAAATTCTTAACCAATCCACACCAAATTTGGTGTATATTCGCTTAAAGACATGACGGACCTAACTGTCAACTTTAAGACTCTCTCTGATCATCGATTCACGCCATATTCCAAAGAAGGGATTTTTCATAGGATTTGAAAAATATTTTGTAATAAGAGTGATTTGTTAGCTTGCAGCTCGAATCAATCAAAAGTTAGTTTTATCACATGTTCTTTTGAATCATGGTATTCATGGTATCATGGTATCATAGATTTTGTATGTTTGGTATCACTAGTAAAATCAACGTTCTTAATTATGCTTTATTTGATTGTTAGAAGTTGACTTCAAACAACACCATTGTGACAAATGATGCTGATTATTATAAATCCTTATTTTGGGGTTAGGGTGCAAGGTAGCAAGTTTGGGGTAACAAGTTTTGCTTAATCTGATAGCATTAAGATGCCAGGAAGACATATAATTCCAGTTTTCTCTGAGTTAAATAAAACTTGATTGTATTACTGAAGTTTTAGCAAAATTTTGAATAAGATTAAGAATTGGGCTTCTATAATTGAGTATAAATTTTTTTGTATCCTACTTCAAACGTTATTATCAAAGCATTATATATAAGTATCTAAATTAGATGAATATATTCAAATTCTAATGTTATATGTATCTGAGACTACAGAGTTTGTTACTTTAATTGACTCCTCTAAATATAACTACAATGAATACTTCTTACAATACTACTTTCGTTTTCATTTACTGACTTTTGACTTTAAATATATTTTAATAATCATAACCTTGATAATAGTGAAATTATCTTAAAAACTAAATAAAATATGTCAGAATATGTGATAAATACACAAATAAAATATAACTACTTGAATTTCAAAATAATAAATTAAAATTCATTTAAATTATTAATAACTAATTTGTTATGCTTATCGATTTTTCGAAGTGAATCCCTATTAATTTTATAGCAAAACAAAAATGCAGATATAATAAGTAAAATATAGCTATAAAAAGCACTTTTAGGGTGAGAAAATCCAATATATCCCTTATTTTTATCATGGAGGAACAAGTTCTAATGAAATTAAAAACCGCTTTATAAGAGACTATTATTTAAAATACTCACCCTCTACAACTCTGATTTTTTTTCCAATTGTTATCGATAGTTCTACTACACGATTATTTAAAATAAATAACTACGTCAAAAGCATATCATTTTACTTGCGAAAGAAGTTATTGTTAAAGAGCTACATCGAAAGCGTCTTATGTCACTTGCGTAAGACATTATTTTAAAATGCCTACGTTAAAAGCACTTCATGGCACCGAACGCAATAGCTAAGTCCCAAATCATAAAAAATAAATGTATTAAGATATTCGAGTAGACAAATTAATGCTGATGTTGGAAAAATATAGATTTTGTTTCCTGTAAGCATGACTTAAACATGAATATGTTATTCACATTTTATGTTATGTTTTCAGAAAATATATCTCATATATCCAACTAGTCGATTAACAGTAATGAAAGATTGCGTATCAGTACAAGAAAAAAAATTAGAAGTTTCTTTCATTCTTATGGTAATGGCTTATCAAACAAATTTTAAATTGAACAAAATATCGTATCTAAAAAGTTAATAAATATATTTTTCATTAAATCTAAATTTAAAAAAAATACTTAGCTGCTCATAGATACTTCGCTTTAGATACTTATTTTTCCATGAATTATTACTATTATTATTTTAAATTTTTTTTGTTGTAATTTACCCAGATTTGCATTTTGTGAGGGAGGGAAAAAACAACATAAGCATAAAATCGAACGTTATAATTGATCATGAAAAAGGTCATATGTATTCTTTATAATATTTACATTTGTTTTTTTTTAATAATCTTTTTTAAATAATAAAAGTAATTTTTTTTATTCTGAAATAGATCTGCTTCCATGAAACAAAAGAACTTTAGTTAAAAAGACAATTCTCACAAACAGTATACATGTGGAGTTTTAATACCATCCACATGAATACTGCTTGTGTGTTAATCAGCAGCCTTATAACATCCTCTCAGACGCAACACGAACTCTTTAATCTTTCCAAGTGATGATCATATTGTTGGTATATGTTGGAACAGTTGACAGTTCCTTCTGCAAATTTTTTGCGGGGTCGCCCTGCATGAAATTCTATTCCAAATTTATCACGAGGAGAAATTCAACTTGGGTGCTTTGAAATTTAAACAACAACAAAAAAAATAATGATATTTTAAAATATCAAAACTTTCCTTTTCAGGATCTTTATGGGTGAAAGGAGTCTTAAGATAAAAATACCCTNCCCCCCCCCCCCTATGAATAGTTAGTCTCGAAAAAATGTTTCAGACGGTGAAATGTTTAAACATTTTTCTACATAAGAACAACAATTTCTCAATTTGTTTTAAATATATTGTAATTTAAAAATAGAAATAAAGATATGACCGGCTTTGATTGATCTTTCTGTGTTCAAAAAATGTAAGGGTTAAAATGTTTCTTCTGTGAAATTATTTCAATTCCTATACATTTTATAACCATAAATTACATTATTTTTAATCTTCTTTCAGTAGCACAAAGGCACCATCAACTTCAATGCTTTTCATCACAAAGGAAACTTAGATAATATTGTTATAACCAGTGCAAAGCCTATTAATAAAAATATTTATTCTGCCGAAAATACAAGAATTCTAGAAGGCTATAAACAGTTTTTTCAAATTTCAAAAGTAGTAGTTTCAAGAACAGCTTGCAAACAAGAAATGTGTATAGTTTCAAGTTTTGAGAATGAACTACCTGTGTTTGGAAAAACAATTATTATTTTGTGAAAAGGCTCCAAAGTTTTATTTGTGTGTAATCTTTTTAAATCTTGTTGTGTTTTCAACAATAAATTGAAAAATGTGATGTAAAAGTAATAGCACCAGAAAAATCTATAATAATGAATGTAATAATGAACATGTAATAAAAATATTGCTTTTTCTAAAATACTCACCGCCATTTACTAATTTGTAAAAAAATGACTGTAATTTTTCCAAACTGAGTTAAATTTTAATCTTTTTATCAAGTAGTAAATTATGTTTGTATAAAAGTAAGAAAGTATGAAAAAAACGTCCTGATGAGGTTATTATGTAAATGATGGGCATTTCTGAAAAATAAAAATGTTATTCTGAAAAAATAATGAGAGTGCCATTAAAAATTTTTATTTAAAATGCTTAAAGAAAAATGAAAGTTGTGCAAAACATAATTTATGCCTTTCTTATTAAGGGAAACAAAATTTTCGTATAAAAAATTCACGTTTAAGTCACAATTATTTTCAGTTCAGAAACAAATTTTACACAAAATGTTCATTTCATCACCTTTACTATCATGGCCACAGAAGATTTTATACTTTGCCGGTTTCTTATTTGGCATTCTATAGAATGCCTAGGAAATGTGTGAAATTTAAATCATTTCATACATTGCCGGCTAGTTTTAGGCATTATATACAATGCCTAGGCATTCTATAGAATGCCGGATTTCAAACTTTGCCGGTAACATATACAATGCGTGTTGAATTAAACAATTGAGAAATAATCTAAAGATTTTAATAAGTACTATAAAGTTTATTAAATTACTTCAAATAATGCTTAAAGTTGAATAAAAAGATAAAGTTTTAAAAGTGCAATGTACTCAAGACAAGCAGTTGAGTTTAAGTAAAACTACTTCAATAAGCTGTATTTATTTTTTTATTATTGATTTATTATTTTTTTATGTATTTAAAATTCCTAGCTACCGAATCCGTGATTTTAGGAAAGTTTTATGAAATTCTATAATAAATTACATCCAAGAACATTAAAACATTTAGCATTTATTTAGTAAAACATTTTATGCACACATTAAATAACCATTATGCGTTTAATGTTCAATTAAAAATAATATACAGGTTTACGACATCGATTTTTCTAGAATATATATTTTGATATCTATATCTTATAAAAATAAAATTGCTTTTAACTGAAAAAATTTTTTTTTCAACTTTTAAGGCTTTTAAGATTCAGCTGCAAGCTTTATGTTTTAATAATCATGAATCATTTATATGCCCCAACTTTTATTTATTTATGGAAATAATGTGAAAAACTTAATTTATTCATAAATATCTTTTTATTTTTCTTTTATTTTATTGACTTTTTGAATTGTATATAAAGAACTTCGAATTTTAGCAAAACACTTCTTTATAGTAGTTTCAGGAGTGTCATAGTTTGTGAAACAAAAATGTCGAAACTGTTTTTTGCCCTCATTGTAGCTTTCGCTGGAATAGCAGGTAAGAAATTGAAATAAAGATTATTGGAATAATTTATTCTTAAATTTTACTAATAGATTAATAGAAAGTAATTCTAAATAAATGCTTTGCTAAAAATAAAATTAAAAAAACTACTAATGAATGTTAGTTTGATTTAAACAAAATAATGACTAAATTTCTCATATTTCAGTATTCTTTAAATATTTTTCCTTACATCGTTTACACGTTGTTCTTTTAAAAGTGGTTTAAATGTTTTTATAAAAGAAATTTGTCAAATGCTCTTAATACTATAACATTAATATTATTATGTATGTTCTAAGACTATTAATGGTATTAAACCCATTTGATTTCATTTTAATTAAAAAAAAATTAGCTTCTTTTAATATCATTTGGAACCTTTTACTATTTGGTAATAAATTAGTGATAAGCAGTACAATTCAAACAAACCATAAGATCTATTTTCTTAGAAATTCTTATTCAGTTACGTTTTTAAGAAAAAAAAAGAAATTTAACTTAAAGTTACAACACTTTGCATCAATATTTTCAAATAATTAAGTAGAAAAGTTCTAAATTTTTATCTCAAATATTAAAATACATTTTTATACCCACTCTGTCAATTATCAACTCTCTGAATCTGAATTCTGGGGTCTAAATTATTAAAAATAAAAAGTCGAAATAATAGTTGGGGTATAACGAGTTTTCCTTAAAATTGAAAACCGATTTTAAAAGTTTGGCTTAATTTTATTTCTAAATTAACGTAGAATTTTTGAAATGTTTCACCTTTATTGGAGTTTCTTTTAAATACAAGACCTTGTAATAGTTGTACAATTGAATGTAATATCAATGGATGGAAAGAAAAAATCAAAGGTGTATGTTGCTATATAACGAGCTTTTTCTAGCATTTCTGAAGAATTTAAAAAGTTTCACTTAAAGGTTATCTTATTTTGTACTTTTTTTCGAACATTTAGATACTTATTTGGCTCTGAATTGATTACGATAAAAAAAATATGCATATAGATAGGACATAACGAGCTACCAGTAGTGTTCCTGAGAGATTTTTAAAGTTTGACTCAAAAGCATCTTAATTTCCAATTGTATTTTCGTATTTTCAGAAACAGGCTTTTGTTGGAATAATATTTAAATTGCTTCACTTTAGTATACACTTACAATAAAAAGTTTCGTCAATTGCACTTAAGTAGTTTCATCAGTTAGAAACTATGTGTTAGGATGCTAAAGAGCAATCTGCAATATTCCTAATATATTTTTTGCAAAATTCCTAATGATTCCTAATATATTTAATATATTTAAAAATCATATTTTCATTAAATTATTATATTTTCACATTGTTTTCAGAGCATATAGACTGTTTTGGGGAATTTAAGCAAATTATAGGAAAAAAAGCTTCATATAAGGATATAACGAGATTTCTGTAGTGTTGCAATGCATTTTAACAGCAGTCTTTAGGTTCTACATATTCTTTCATTTTGGATTTACTTCTCTGTTTTGGGAAAGAGCAAGTATTAAATACAATAACAGTTAAAATTTTGTAATAATTTTTAGTTTTAATGTAATATTATATAGATCAATCTCCTTTGGATTAAGGGTTTCAAATTTATTTTTGACAATTTTTATAACACCGTGCCTGTATATGCATAATCTTGGTAGCCTGAATAATAAAATTTTGAACAGCAGAAACTTGAATCCAGAAACTATCTATAGGAAATTCAATTGTATTTTGAAAAATGAAATATCCAATCAAAAATGTCTCTTATAACATAATGAAATTTATTTTAAACTCATCCCATCCATGCGTGTTAATTTTTAGATTTTATCGAATATTTTAACTTAAATGAAATCATGAATTAATTATTTTTAATTGAGAAGACATATATTTTTCTTATACTAAAGTGTTTTCTTTTGATAAAATTACTTGGTATTTTAAAAACCTGATTTTCCTTTTTTAGCTGCAGCTCCCGGTAAGTGTTAAACCATATTTTTTGTCCAGATTATAGTGCATTGATGCTGTTGAAACTATTTTACTTTGAAACGCAATCTTGCACTTGTTTAGAAATTCTAAACATGCGTAAAAATAAAAGTTCTCCAAGCAATGTCCGGAACTTTCACGCAATAGAAACATTGATATTTATCTCTACTGTATAAAACATTATTTAGCTAAAATCAACAACATGATTTACACTCTATCAACAAATTTGAATTTTATAAATTTGATACAGTTTCGTGTTAGCATTAGAAATCAGAAGAAAAAAATTAAAACTCAGCTTTTCTTTTTCTACGTCCTATTTTTCCATTATTCATTGAAATATATTTCCAGGTGATGCGAATTTCATTTTGGAGTGTGTTTTAACTAAATTTGAAAATATATTTAACAATAAATATATTTTTATTACATTTCACTTTGAATAAATTTAAATAAAATATCTAATATTTTTTCCAACTATTAATTATAAAACATAACTTAATTATTATTTGTATTTAATATTATTATTTATGATTTTTAATAAATTATCTCTGTAATAAATATTTCTTCTAAATAGTTTAAAATAGTTAAGTTCAACAGGATAGAGGTTTTTAATAAAAATATGATTCTGTTATGTAAATTAAAAAAAACAACAACATAGAAATTAAAAAGTGAACAGATAACTGGATAGTGAAAATTCAATCCAAGGAAGAGATAAGAAAATGAAAATAAAGAGAAAGGAAATGAAAATAAAGAGAAAGGAAATGAAAATAAGCCTATCCAACAAGCCTGTTTAGTTTAGAAAGAATAAAGTAAAATCAGTGACCGTGGCTTTAAGCTTTTAACCGTTCCAAAAGACTGAGTGATTTCGCTAGTGCATGCTTTAGGTAAAAAATAATGCTGGTGCTAATAAGCCCTCTTGAACAAATGAAGAGATGTGTTATGCGACTCGAAAATAATTTTTGATGATATATTGCTTTCGAACAATTCCAAAAGTATCAAGCTTTTGAATAAAACACAACAGAATACAGGATTTTAAGTATGTTTCCAAAATAATAATTAAAACATAAATTAAACTTTTCCATCAATATTGCTTTGGTAGTCGTATTCTTTACAAGTTTTACTTAATAACAACATACAATAAAAACATAAAACATATACTTTCTGAAAAAAATAAAGTGCTATCAGAAACATATATTTAAATGTTTGTAAACAAGTTCTTACAGACATAATGATTAAAATGTACAATTTGCCTTCAGTTAGTAAGTAGGCATCAGGTTTTAAAATATTTCTAAAGCGGACAAAAGTTACTTTTCTGAAACGCTAAGCTTAAAATTGTAAGACCACATTAGCAACAACGTACGTTATTTCAATACATTATTCCTTTAATCAATTTTCGCTATAAAGTAATCAATTCTGTGGAATCAGCTTAAAATATGGTTCCTAAAAACTCATTTTCTAATTTTTAAACTAATGAATTAATTTAATATCAGCAAAAAATGTTCCACTTTTTTTTTGATAAATAAGATACATGATTTCTGAATCTTTTTTGCAGATATCTAAACAATATGATTCTATTTAATATGACGTAACAAGCTTTTAATTGTTATAGTTTTATCTTAAACTAATATTCAATATTTTATTCATAATTTTGTTAAAATTTATATAAAAAGTTTTTATTAGGGAATACTATAATAACGATTGTTTTGCACAAAATATACATAAACCAGGCGTTACAAAATTAATAGTTTCTAAATGTTTGCATAAAGAATGTCCTTATTCTATAGATATATTTCAAATAATTATTTACCATTAATTGAAATGAGAATTTTCTCTAAATTTTCTGACTCTGAAATATTTTTCTTTTTTAAAATTCCGCTGTGGATTTGTAAAATTGAATTAACTACGCATCGAAAATATATAGTTTTTTCAATCATTCAAAAAATGTAAAGCATTTTATATCTAATTCAGATTATGAATACTTCTTTTGAGTTTGAACCAACCTACTGAAAATCAACTATTTTGAAATTTGATTTGAGTATATAACTTCTTATGCATGCTTCAGATTAAGTTGAATTTGTAAACGTAATTGTTAAATTTGTTTTCATATAAAATATATTGTGTTATTTTTTTTGATATTTAGCTGATTCCACTGGTGAGTAGTTATTTTCTTATTTAAAATATTTTTTATAGTAAACAAAAGTACAGTTATACCTGCTACATGTATTATTTCGCTGATTATAAATATTTTACAGAAAAATAGGCTGCTTGCACAACTTAAATTATAAAAATATAAAGACAATAATACAGTCATAACATTTAAATTACCGAGCACAGACAAGTAGCTCGACCTATTACGAATATCAATTCATTTATTTATAACCTTTATTTTTAAGCATACTAAATACAGACAACAAATAGAGACATATATATATTTCTCTAATTTTGAACCAAAATTATTTCTCGAATTTCATTTTTGTTCAATTTTCATAAGTTATCGTAATCCATGCCTGAAATGTGCGTGATATTTTTTTAATAAAATGCAAAGCTAAATCAAACATGTTGTGTTCAACCCTTCAGAATCTAGCAACAACTAGATCAGATCCATGAGGCTATTTACCCTAGCAAAGTCCAACACCAGAAATGGACTTGCATGTACATCTTCCTGAGCTAACCCCAAACTATCGACGATATGTCCAGGATATATCCAGGGAAGAAGGTAACAAATAACACTTCGTGTAAGTGTTATCTGTTAAGATCAAACATAAATAACCTAAGTAAAACGCATCGATAGAAACACAGAAGTTCTAGATTGTTTGATTGATTGTTATTTATTGACTGTACTAAATTTCCCTGGTGTAAAAAAACCCTGAAAACCTTACTTCTTGTTTTAAGTAAAAATTCCTTTTCCTTTCAAGTTTTCAGAAAATATACTTCAAATACTGTTTAATTTTCAGAAGTTCTTAACAAGTTTACAAATGAAAAAGTTTCTTCTGAGCAGTACATTGTAAAGAGATTAATCAAAAGATCTTCCTTTAAATTTCATGGACATGCTTTTGAAAGCTTTTAAACTGTACTACGATAGACTTTTCTAGTATGATTTTTTAATGTTTAATTTAGATTTAATTTCAAGCGAGACTGAATTTTTTCATGCAACTAAAAGGAAAAAAAACTACAATGTATAAAATTAATGCTTGTTAAGCTTTTATGGCAGAATATTCTTGTAACATACACTTAATATTTTCCATTATGATAATCACCATATTACATTTCAAATAAATTTTTTTCTCATTTTAGAAAATGGTAAGTCATTAAATTTGTTATGTTGTACTTAGAAATAATTTTGCGAGTGAAAAACTACTTATAACACAAATAAAAAATAAAATAATTCATAAATTTATGCATAATGTTATAATGTAACTTATAAAATGCGATTATATTAAAATCAAGCTAATTTTCAATGCATACTATTAGATTATTTACGTTTCGGTACCAAAGCTTTATCATACAAAAAAATACAATTATTTTAGGCATTTTACCTGGAATTCAATGCAGAATGCATTGATTATTTTATTTCTGAGAGACAATTTTTTATTAAAATGTTTATTGATTTATTAAAGAGATGTTTATTAAAGAGATGTTTATATTTAGATAAAATAAACTTTATTTTCTGACGATTTGCCAAATGATTTTCACATGAAATCGTGTGAGTTTTTACAAAACGTTTGCTTGGAACATTTTCTGGAAAATGATTTGGTCATAAAAAAAGAAAATTTCCTAAATATTTGTCTTTATGATTAATGAATAAATTGTGAATTCTCATCTTCAAAAAATCCGCATATTCCTTAGAAATTAAGCAAATGCTTATTAAATTAAAATAAAATAAAAAATAAGGGATTAAAAAAGAAATTTAAATCTAGTAAAATTTAAAAAAATGCACCTTCGAAATACACTTTTTGAATAATATTATATTTTATTGAATTTCAATCAAGTAATAATTTTCGCTGATTTTTAAAAGCTTATATATTTATAATATTTTTATTTCTGATTAGATTTAAACGAATTACGTAAGTATAATTTTTGGAGAGCTTTCTTATTGTAATTTTATTGCATATTCTTAATAATTCTTATCTGATTCAAAGTTTGGGTGGTATTAATTCACAATCTTTTTTGCTATAGCACATAGATTTCACTTTATAAGGGAAAGAATTACAATACACAATACAATAAACTAAGGTATTAAAACAATTGCTATATACTGAGGTATAATGATATTCTCTGAAATAATATCGTATTAAAAGTAGTTTGCGAACTTAAAGAATTTTTAAAAAAATTAAAAACTATAAAATTTGTCTATAATCCGCAAAATCTGACAATAAAATCTGTAAAATATCGATAAAATCTGTTACACTCATTATAAAAGAAGAGTTTTTTTAATTTAATTTTTTTTAAAAATTTACTTAAAATATTTTAAATATACTACTTTTTAACATAATTTAATACTAGGCTATTTGCATAAAATTCTGATAAATAAATTTGATGGTTTAAAAACGCAATAACAAAACTGAAAGTCTAATGACCAAATTTAATAAGTATAAAACTAAATTTAATAACTGTATTTAGACTTTATTTGCATAATTTGTTAACTATAAAAAATATACAGCCATTTAATTTTGTTTTTAAAACTAATTTTTGTCTCCGTAACAAACTTTGAAAATACTAACAACATAATTTTAATAAATAACCAAGTACCAACATTATCAAAAATAAAAAATGACATGGAAAGACAAAATTACTTTCTTTATATCATTAATTGTACACTGAGAAAAAAAAAACTCAAAACTACCAGAATATGGTAAAACCAGCTAACTTTACGCGAATACCAAAAGATACTTTATTTTAAAGAAGCGTTACGTTGATAATTTTGGTAAAATTAAAAATAAAATATTGCTTTATAATATGAGACAAAATTTGGTAATTTTATAGTGATATCTTAGATCATGGCACAAAAACTATTAATTCTAGTAAATTTACGTTTCCGTTCTCAAAGGTGAGAACTGTAATTATAAAAAACAGACTTTCTCGAAAATCGTTCGTTTACATATGAACGGAAAAATTGTAGAATGAATGATTTAAATACCATGTATTTTGATTTTATTAACCAGAATAATGTTTTTTTTTGTGCCAGACATATTATTACCATACAGTACGGTAATTTTAACAGAATTGTTTTCACCGTAAAAATACAGAACTAAATTGCACTTTAAACATTTCAAAAGACCTAAATCGTATCAAATAATTACTAATTAAATATAGTTCAAATTATCTACAAATATTTATTTAGACCTTTAACTACATAAGCAATATTTTATTTTACAAAATTAAATTCATTTAAATTTTTCAGATGACGTTTTTGTTGGTATGTATTTTATTCATGAAAATGAAAAGCTCTTAATTATTTTGAATGTAGTATAGAAAGAATCAATTGCTTAAAGCATATACAATTTCTATAAAAAATTATAAATTAAAAATTGGATATTATAATAGTACTTATATCAATTTTATCAGCAAATTGTACCAGCAGTATTATCAGGATAGCGTTACTTCTTCAAATATCTCAAGTACTTAAAGATAATTTTTGTAACTGCAGCTAGTCTGTCGGATGAGGAAACTTTTACTGAACAATACGCGCAAAAACATTTAAATAAAGAATACTTAATCTTAATTTCAAATCAATAAACTTTTATTTTTCTAAATAGTTTGGAAAAGAGCTTTAAATTGAAATTTATTCATATTTTAACCTTCAATTTGTATCAACAACAATTACAATCTATGCTAATTTCCAGATACTCTGTATGGAGAGCAATTAAAATTATTGCTATTGATGATATTGATTTATTATTAAGATTATTTAATAATATTGATTTATATGCTGCAATTTTTTGTTACTTTAATGATACTCTTTAATTTCGGAATATGCGTGAAGATTTAATTCACGGATTGATTAGGGTATATTAGTTTGAGCATAATTATTTTAACTAGAAAGCATTTTCAATGATTTTTGTGAGGTGAACCGGATTTGAATCCCATTGACGACTGGTCGATGCGAATTCCGTATCTAGCTTGCATCGAGCACAGTGTTGACGTAGTTCAGTTGTTGACGAATCATATGTCAGAGTCCCCTTGCCGTTAGGCTAACCGAACGAAGTTGAACATTAGTAGCCGTAAGCCCAAACATTTGGGTCGGCTGCTAAACGATGATTATGAAATAAAATATAGAACACAAAACCTGAAAATATTTACTTTTGAATGGCTAGAAATTGTAAAATGTAATTCAGGCGTCTGCAGTTAGCAAGGAAAAGTTAAAAAAAAACAGTAGAATTTTTAACATCAGCTATGCAATAAGCTGCTAATCACTTAAAAATATACAAGGTAATTAGATAACAATTAGTAAAAAATATCAAACATCACAGCAAGATTTTTTGAAACATTACAGCAAGTTTTTTTTTCTCAAATTCTGTTCTTCTTCTATGTTTGAGCAAAAATATTGTAATATTTTCTCGTTTCAATACAAAAAATTGGTGGTGTGTAGAAACAATGATTGCCCCTAACTTTTATTTCTTTACCCAAATCAACTCATCAATGTCTACAACATTACAAAGTGTTTGCATCTTATTGTCTCACTTTTGTCACAATTTCTTATTTTTTCCTTTATACACAGTAATTTTTGTTAGTTCTTCCGTCCTTCATGATCTCTGAAACTTAAGAATTTTATTTTTCATTTAACACTATATTTTTACAGATAAAATTCAAATTTTCATAATGAAAACACTTAGTTTTATGTTCGGAAACACCATTCAGATTCTTTTTCACAAAGTGCTTTCATTCTAAATAAAAAATATTTAGTATTTATTATTTGTGTTTCTAGGTTTAACTGACAAAGGTAAGTTTACATAATTTCTGATTTTTTTAATCTGTGTATAAAATAGTTTTCTAATGTAAGTTAAAAAATATAAGAGAAGCTACTGATAAAAATTACCTAAAAAACAATACGTTTCAAATTATTATTCTTTTACTGTAAAACAGATGTAATTCTGTCTGGATTTTTTTTTAATCATATTCAATTAGAAATGCAAATGCATGTTAGTTGAATGCCAAATAAATGAATAGCCCCCAAAGAGGTCAAAAATTCGGTACCTTGGTTGTTCAATTAAATACTAACAATAAATCACCATAAAAATTACCATAAATTCAAAAGCTCACTCCAGCTCCAAGGATAAAATTTTTTAGTTTAATCATTAACTTTTATGTATCCATTAAATTTAAAAAAGAAAAATTTCGTAAATAGAGTAAATTTCTTGAATAAATTTTTATTCTTAGAATTAGTTTTGATAAACATTTCTCTTTCTTAAAAGAATGAGGCTTTCATATCTTGTCATGTAGGTCACCATTTTATAAAAAAGCAGTTTATCATAGTTTAGAAACAGACTTTTAAAGGGTTGTAAACAAAATAAACTTGAAGTGCATTAATGCAAAAAATTTTTCATAAAGATCACCTTTAATATGTATTTTTAAAATGTTTATCGAAATGAGAAAAAGTATACACGTTAGGAGGGAGAGCAAATTAATATTTAACCGAAGAAAAAAAAAAGAAAGGCGTCGTCTAAATCTGACAAATTCGATTAGTTAATAGCAGAAATAAGCATCAAAACAAGTTTAATTGGATGTTGAAATGCGAAAATGATGCTAATAATCGTCGTTCAACTGCTCTCTATTTATTGCGGCAATAAACACATTGTGCTTAATACTACCGTTTTCTTATAAAGGGATTTCTGAGATTTCAAAACCATTTTTATTATGGATTCTAAAAATACATATTAAGGTTAGTCTTTACAGAGCAACCGCTAAAAATTTTTAGCAGAATTTGAAATTTATAACTAAATGCTAATATACTCCTTAATAAAAATAAATTTGGAACCATATTTAAAGCCGTTAAGTGTATTTTTTGCAAACATAATATAAAAAATTTACACATTTGTTAAAAAAAAATACATTTGCACCAATTATATTTCAAAAACAATTGACGGAAAAAATTAATTTAAAATGTTTTTATTTATTTTTAGTTGCATCATTTGCCGAAAGTAAGTGTACAGTATTCTGCATAATTAATGTTATTTTTAAGAAGAATTTTCGTAAATCACGTTTCATATTACTACTTCAAAGCTTAGCCAAACTTTTAGCATTGCTTTAAAATGAAGCAATTAACATATGAAAATTCCCTACATTTTTACTGAAAATTTATTTATTTGATTTATGAATTTAAAGAATTGTAAATTCATAATATATTTCATAACTATAAACTATAAAATTATAAATAGTTGGGAAATATTTTTCGGATGTACAGCTTATAAAATAGCATGAAGTTAAAAACATACAACATGATGTTAAAAATTTCCTGAAAAACGTTATTAAAAAACATTTTGTTTAATTGGCATTTTGCAATGCTCAACCAAAAAATCTAATAACTATAAAAGAAAAGAATAGATTATGATATGCATTCTACGGTATTCAAGCTGTGCTGCGGTATTCACTTTTTCTCTGTTTTCGTCTATACGGTCAAATAACGAAGATTTTACGGCCAATTGGAGCACTAGAATTTTGTGAGCCAATTAGAATCTAGCGCACGTACTTCGAAAGGTGTAAACTTAGTAATGTGATGAGATTTACGAATTCGAGTGTTCTCCTTCCATCATCAAAGAAAAAAAAAAGAAAAAAAAAGAAAAAGAAGAGAAAAAAAAAGAAAAAAAAACAGCTGGAGCCTAATAATATTATAAAAATAAGTGTGTGGTGAGCACCTAATAAAGCCACTTAGATCCCTATAGTCCTATCCCTATAGATCCCTATAGTCCAAAACCTTGAACTATTGAAAAATGAAATATTATTAATGCTAAGCTTGCAAAACCACATGCTGTATAACATAGTATTCCTCATATATCACAACAGATGGCACCACTAGAAGGATTGATTAGGCCATATTCCATGGTTCACTTGACAAAACACAATTCAGCTATAACTCCAATATCCATTATTAAACGAAAAGCTTAGCATAACCTAACCCTGTGC